AGGCGCTGACCATGGCGGGCGCGGGGGCAGGGCTAGAGCAACAAGGATACCCAGATGACACTGCTATTTAACATAGTGGTGTAATTTCCAGACTGAGATCGGGGACCCGTGTCAGCACGACTAAGGGAGAGCTGGGACCCCCGAGCAGCCCCAAGATGCGCCATTGAAACCACACTTCACTAACGGCCATGGCAGGTGCTGGGTCTTGGATCAGAACAGGGTGGTTGTAGAAGAACCGGTGGCATCTGAGTACACAAATCTGTAGCACAATTAGTAGGGAGCATCAGCGCTGCCGTCTCAGTGGTGGCCAAGGTCCTGTGGTTATGGAAGGTGTTCACATCAGGGGAAACCCGGGGAAAGGCCCGTGGGAGCTCTACCCTCTCTACGTTTCTGTGAGTCCAAAATCACCCACCTCTGAAAAGTACCGTCAGTAGGAAAACTTCAAATCATTCTCAGATAATGATCCTGTTTATTTAAACACTCAAAACTGCCACATGTTCTGAGTGTAGACATGCAGACGTAAACTCATGGAACAAGGCCTTAAAAACATGTCCAATGAGCAGGGCGCAGTGGCGCACACTTGTAAGTAATCCCAGTGACTTGGGAGGCTGAGGCAGGATGGCAAGTTTGAGGCCAGCCTCACTATCTTAGGGAGATCCTGTCTCAATTTTTTATTTTAAAGCAAAAAGGACTAGGAATACAGTTCAGTGGTAAAGTTCCCCTAGATCACTTCTCATAACAAAATAATCCCTGGCTGTGATTGCTCCTTTAAAATGCAGCCAGGGCCAACATATTTTCTTAATTAATATCATTAGTTCTTTGCAAGAAAGAATGGCGGTGGGACCAGGAATTAGCAGGGGAACCAAAGGGGACATTGGCTCTGCCCAGAGAGTTACCCCATGAAGGTGTGTGCAACAGGAAGGACCCTCAGACCCAGCCTGGCAGCCAGGACCCACCCCAGGCCTCACACCTTCCCAGCCTCCGTGTCGCTGGCCAGGGAGCCCAAGTGCCAGGGATGCAGTAGGCGTCCCCTGGCCCCTGGGTTCACGTTCTTTCTCACCATTAACTCCCTTCTCCATTTCAACTCAGAGGACAAGGAAAGAAAGACTCCACTCTGAGAAGCCGTGTCTCGCTAGGAAGGGTAACAGGAAAGCCGGCTCAGGCAGGGTGTGCACGGCTGCTGCGGACAGGGCTGCTCTGGCCAGAGGAGCGCCGACTGCTCACCCTCCCTCTCAGCAGACAGCAGCAGCTGTTGATGGGCAGGCTCAGCTGCTGCAGAGGAGTGGGGACAGTGGGGACAGCACCAGGCCAGCTTCAGGAGCCAAGTGTGGTACCCTGAAGGTTGTCTGCAGCCACACTTGATTGGCCTGGGACCAGGGTGGCCAGGCTGGGGCTGGTAGCTATTGCACAGCTCTTCTCCCCCAGCTCAGGGAGGCAGGAGTGAGTCTGTGCCTGGGTCCCTCTGAAGTCCTGAGGGACCAGGGCCTTTCATACATGTCGAGACGCTGGTGCTGTACCTTGGGGAAAGCAGCATCTCTGTTTTGCTGAGGCCTTAGGAACCAGATTTTGAAGTTCTTGTTACTGCTCTGTTTGGAGGTAATGGGAGGGATTGAACCCAGGACCACCTATCTAGCTATTGAGCCACCTCCCCAAACCCTTTTATTTATCATTTTGAAACAGGGTCTCTGTAAGTTGCTTAGGGCCTCACTGAGTGTTAAGGCTGGCTTTGAACTTGTGAACTTCTTTTGCCTCAGCCTCCCAGGTCGCTAAGATTACAGGTGTGCATCACTGCACCCAGCTACTGCTGTGTTTAAAACTGGCCCAGAAAGAAGGTGGCAACAAACCCAATGTATTTTCAGCAGAAATCTCCAAAGAACAGTAGAGAAACCTAGCTTCACCAAGAACATGCACCAGCGGGGACACAGTCGGCTATAGCAGTGGTCCTCAGCTGGGAAGGGGAGTGTCAGGATCATAAGAGGGGCTTGTGCAAGCGCTAATTTCCAGTCTCTGCTCTCTGAGTTTCTGATGCAGGGGGCCTGGGAATTTGCATTCCAACCTATTCCCAGGTGACGCTGTGCTGGCTGGCTTAGCCAGTTGTGCTGGAGAGAAGGAATCCTGCCCTACCTGTGTGGGTGGTCACACTCTGGGGACAGCATCCCTGGCTGCGATTGCTCCTTTAAAATGCAGCCAGGGCCAACATATTTTCTAAAAGGCAGGCTCTTAGGATCTCAGAGGGAGGCTGTGAGCAGAGGCCTGGAGGCGGTGCCTGGCACCCTCCCTGGGGATAGGTTGTTTTGATCCAAAAGCAAGTGCTAATTGAACAGGGTCCCCTCTCTGAGACCTGCTTCCATGAGGTCAAGTGGCTCCCGCTCTCTGAGGCAGAAGGAGGAAATGATCCTGACCTGACCTTGGCAGCAATGGAAAAAATTGCTCAGGAGAATTTCCAAGTCTAAAATTGAGCTGTGGGTACTGAGCAGCAGGTAGAGAACAGGAGGGGGTAATGTCTGCCCCCAGGGCCCATGCTGCTTCACGACTTCCAGAAAGTCAGGGTGCTGTGCTCCCCACCCCTCCTGAGCAGGGAAGGGCCAAGAAAGAGCAAAGACCACCGAGGCCTCTCCCTGCGCGTCCTCACCTGTGGGCCTGTGGCAGGCAGTGGGGCCAGAAGTCCGTCCCTTCCTGGGAATGTGGTCACTCCCCAGCTACTGCAGGACGCCATGTCCTTTTCCATTAGACTGTCCTGTAGGTGGGCAGGGCCTGTCTCAGGTGTGCGTGGAGAAGGAGGCGGGGTTTGAGTCCATGCAGGGGGAAGTCCATGCTGGGGCATGGCAGAACGGACTGTGCCCATCTGTCCCAGCTCTCTTCTCTCTTCTTGAACCAGAGAGGTTTGAGAGTTTTGTTTTTAGAAAGGAAATCTGTTCCCGTAGAGAGGGATTCCTTTTTCTATCAGAGCTAGATGCTTTTTATGCCTGGAGGTGTCCAACTGACCCACTGAACAACATCATGCATTTTGTTGTGATTATCACAATTAGCCTTGCAATTGCTGGCTCTCATTCACTGGGCCCCTCCTGTGTACTTTCCACTATCTCTTTAAACCCTGGGATCCCGGGGCCATTAGCCTGTTACTCCCATCTTACAGATGAGGAGAGCCTCAGGGGCATGAAGGTCCACGGTGGTCACGGGCGCAGCTAGCACTGGGACGCCTCTGTCTGAGCAGTAGCACTCCCCAGTAAGCAGCACCGGTTGGTGTCTGCCCCGCCGTGCGCCGGGCTCTTGGCCAGGAGTTGGCATCTAGTAGTGAGCCCCGTAAGCTGTGGCTCTGGACCTCCTGGAGCCCCCCAGCAGGGGAAGTAGGTCAGGAGAAGATGTCAGGTGGATTAAATCAAGGCAAGTGGTGATTAAAAATGCTTTTCGCCACAAGGTATCACGTGCCTTATTTTTAATGATCGTATTTTCCATTAATCTTAAAAATGCAAGCAGAGGTAATTGGCGTTTAATTAAAACCTTCAGTGTATTTCAATAAAGAACATTTTAAACGAGGAAAAAAACACAAAACAAAACAACAACAACAAAAAATTGTCTTGTCCTTTGGAACTCAGCCTTCCAGCTAGGTAAACCTTCAAGTTCATGCTGCCTTAGGCACCACTGCCACCTGGTGTCAGGCAGCAGAATTGCAGGTGCAGGCTTGGAGGCAGCCACTGATTCTGAAGGTTGCAGAATTGGCACTCTCCAGGCCTGGTTGACTGTTTCAGAGGGTGACCGTACATGTGTAAAGTAGTGGCAGTTGGTTTCAAGTCAGCTTAATTTTAGCCCCATGTCACCAACTGTTGTGTTTATGACCTACAGGTTATTTCCTTATGATCAAATCAACATTTATAAATTCTTGTGATAAAGTGAGATTAAATATAGAGATAAGCTGGGTCTAAATTCTAGAGCCAATTTATACAAATAATAGTCCTTTATTTAACTTCCCAACTCCCAATATCACAAAGAGATCCCCATAACGTGGTCTCTCGCTTCCCTTGGCCTCACCTCTACTCAAACCCTGCTGACGACTCACCATTTGTCCTTGTGGTCCCTTCTGCCTGGTACGACCTTCTTTTCCCTTTACTTTTTTTTTTTTTTTGCTTGTGTGTATGGAGCTGGGGACACTGTTCAGGACCCAGCACGTGGTAGGCAGGTGATCTGCTGCTGAGCTACACCCCAAACCTTCCACCTTTACCTTCTGAATTTACTCTTCAAATGTCAAATCCAGGTCAACAATCTGGGGAGAATTTCCTTCAAGTAAATTCAGAAATGACAGTGTCACATGGCAGAGACACAGAAGATGTGGCTCTGGATCCCAGCTTCATCTCTTTGGTAGCTGTGACCTCAGCCAACTTACTAAATGTCTCTGTGCCTCAGTTTTTACCCACTAAGTAGGAATAACCGGGGGCGGGTGGGGGGAACACCTTCCCCAGCATTGTTTCAAGATTAAAAAAAAAAAAAACAGATCTGAAGAGCTCCCTCACTCTGAGCCTCTTACCTGCTTACGTGGGGGGGGGGGGGGGTTGTGCTGTGACCGGGACGTGGTGCTGTCGATGACTGGATGCACGTAAAGACTCAGGCCCTGATCAAGGCCCCCCAGTGTAGGATTGTGAGCAAATGGTTTCCATTACCTGTTTAGTTTTGCTTGCAGAGGAGAAAAATTCCATCTCCTGAAGTTAAAAATAGTATGAATGTCCAACTTTGAACTTCCTGCTGTTCTTGCTCTCCTCAATCCATCACTATCTCCTCCACCTGGTACACTCCCCACCCCCCACAAGCTGCAGAGATCCGCGTGTTAGCATGAAAGGTAGTTTTGCAAGGCTATTTTGGGCAATGCTGCTGTAGGCAAATCCCAGTCCATCAGGCACCTTTGTGTTGGCACCTGAGAGAGAAGACTGGTCCCCAAGTGTTGTTGGCAATGTATTGTCTCTGTATCTTCCAGATAGTCTTAAATGTCACTCTGTTTCTCTGACCAGGTAGTCGATAGTGACAGACCTGAAGGGTCCAGGTTCCGGCTCACTGGAAAGGGAGTGGATCAAGAGCCTAAAGGAATTTTCAGAATCAATGAGAACACGGGCAGCGTCTCCGTGACACGGACCTTGGACAGAGAAGTGATGGCTACTTACCAAGTGAGTACTCTCGCCACACACCCTGTGCGCACGGACATGGCTTCCGATGGGTTTTCTTTCTGCTGAGTGATCATTGTTGCGCCTCACCAAACCCAAGATTGTGTCGCTTCAGGGTGTCTCTGTAAGCGCTGGATGGATGTGGCTCCAGAGTGGGTAACAGGGAGGGTCCCTATCTTGTCAGTAGAACCCCCAGAGCCGACCAGACTCTGGGTCCTGGAGACCAAGAGAGACACTCGAGGGCAGGTGTAAACCCTCGGACAAGACAGGTGCATCCTTAGAATTCTATGCTAAGGACACTGAGAGAATGCTGTAAGATTTTTGTTCAATGATCCTACAGCAAGACATGGTCCTTAAAGTCAAAAAATTACTTGGTGCTCAGCAATAGGAGTGTGGTCAGATTGTGGCTCTGTGCCAAGGCAGTGTTCTGCTGCCATGTAGAATCCTCTGGAAGGAGTGTCAGCTATGTGGGGAGACCCAAGGTACCCCACGGAAACAGAGCACTCGCTCCGACATCCACTGTGAAAGAGAAACCAGAGTGCTCATGGTTGGGCTGGGTGTGCTGGATTCCTCTTTGGTTTTCTTACCTGCCCCACTGGTTTGCAGTGGGTTCTGAGTGAGTGGAAGGTGGTTTGAGGTGCTGGAGACGTAAGGTGCTGGACAGATGTAAGGGGCTGGGGTGGTGCGCAGGGAAGCCCTGCCAGGCAGCAGGTCCCTGCCGAGCAGCGCAGCCCAGATCCTCAGTGGAGGAGGAGGCACCTCCCAGGCTTCCCTCTCCAAAGCCTGGCTGAAGGGCTTTCTGAGCATCTGCAGGGGCACCACCTGTTGGGGGGGGCACCAAAGATGAGGCACAAGTCCTCAACGGAGGCCCAGTGGGGTCTCTGGTTGCTGTAGAAATAGAACATTGATTCCCTTAGACATTCCCAGCTCTTGCTGGCCTCGCCAGGAACTAGAAATCACTGGCAGCTGTTGGTATCCAGCTGCTGCAGGGACAGCCAGCAGCAGATTATGGATAAATGCACCCTTCTCTTTCCATGCCTGCCTTGGGAATACCCCTGAGGTTTCAGGTGCAAGGAACTGAGGAAAGGCACGGCGTACTTCAGTGTGCATGGCACAGTGGTTGTGACCTCCTGGGCCAGGCAAAGGCCATCCAAGTCAGCACTGCCGTTTCCTGACCTGAGTGATCTCAGGCAACCCACTTACTCTCTATGATCATGTGACTTGTCCTTGAAGGACAGATAGAATCCACACCTCTAAGGACAGTAAAAGATGAAGTGAAGTTATTTTGCAAACATTTGGCACAATGCCCAACACTTAGCAGGTACTCAATAAATCTCAATAAATCAAAGCTACTCTTGGTAATTATTCTCCTGAATATTTCTGAATTTTCCAGTTAAGTTCTTCAAATTTCTAGCATCAGTTTCCTAAGTCCAACCCTGAGAAGGTTGACGTCTGCCACAGACGTCATTTCATTCTGATGTTAGACAAATATTCCAGCCTTTGCCGCCCCTCCTTCAGTATCAGAGGGGGATTTGGTACGAATCTGTGCTCAGGAGCTCCCTGGGGGATTGGAGACACAGGACAAAGGATATGGAACAGGAGGTCACCTGGAGCATTCCAAGCCCTGGGGCCAGGACTGGTAAAACCAGAGAGGGCACATAGTGCCGGTGCTCAGGTGTGAGACCTGGTGCTCTTGGGGGACCCTGGTGGGGGGTGCTTGACCGTTCGGATGCTCAGTGACTTGTCTGAGGTCTGTGCACTCCGGGAGGGGGTCCAGAAAAGTCACCCTGCTGGGTGTCCTCCCAAGTTCAGAGACAGACTCTGGGCCACCATCTGCCAGGGCCTCAGTGAACATTCATAGACGGCACTGACCTCGATCTGCAGGGATGGGAAGAAATCCCCTGAGATGGCAGACATCTGGGGACAGTCACAATGGCAGGGAAAAGAGCTCAAAGAGTGACCTCCAGAGCTGATGAGAGCCGGTCCTGGCTTCCTGGATCTCTCCTTCCAGTGCCCAAGCTTTGATTCAAAGTCCACTGATCTTAGTCTCTCACCTTTGTGAGGCGTGGCATGCCAGGAAGTGGTGCCCCAGGGTGGTGTGGCTTGGCTTACCCTGGCACAGAGCCGTGTCCCACTGAAACTCAGTGGGAAGGCAGTGTCTCACTCAGGTGGCCCCGGGGCCACCATCCACCCTCAGGAGGGTGCAGTGTCGCACGCCCCCTCCTCCCGGCCTCACCCCTTCCCTCTAGACCTGTCCTCGCTGAGTCGTGTCCTCGCTGAGGAAGGTCTCCTAACTGCTGCGCATGGCTCTTCTGTCTCTGGACTTAGTGACAGCTGCTCTCTGTGGACCCGCTTTGGCATGGGAATGTGCCAACCCCACGTTCCAATCTCCTACTTAGACGGAACTCTCTGTCTTCCTGGTGCAGCCAGGACCACCACGTGAGGGTGATCAAGGTGAGCCGAGCCCTGAGCCTCTGGATCCCCACCCTTTAGCTCCTCTTCTGCAAGCTTCCACGGTGGAGAACGAGGACCCGCGGAGAGACGTGATGGTGGCGCCGATGTTGTTGGTTTTTGGAGTTTTAAATGCTACTCACGCATAAGGACATGTCAACGTGTTGACATTTCCCACATCCAGCAGGAGAGCATCTTGGTGACGGAAGCCGCAGGGATCTGCGTGACGAGGCGTCATCTGGGGTACATTTATTCTTGGCCCTGATCGTGGATCGTCATCGAAGCTACTGTTTACTGAGCGCCGCGTGGCAGACGGCATGCCAAACTCTGCGCGTACGTTCTCTTATTTAATCTCTTTCACACAAGAGACTTCAGAAGTAGGAGTTAACACCATTTTACAGATAAGCACAAAACCATTACACAACTTTTCAAGGGCTCACAGCTGGTGTGTATTGGATTTGGGATCCATGGCCCTCTCCCCAGCTCGGAAGCCCTGCATTCTCAACCACGAAGGAGCGCTTCTTCCTGCCTCCACCCCAGCCAGGCTTTGACCCCAGCAGCAAGCCCCCTTTCCTAGGACTGTCACTTGTTGGGGCTGGGAAGGGTCTGACGGGCTGGATGACCTATTGCTTCTCAAACACCATCTTGTTCCACGACCCTCTGCCACCCTGCCAGCCCCTACCCCAGCCCCCAGAGGGCTTCCCATGCTTCTGACCCACAGTGACACCTGGCAAGGTAATTTAGCTCTTGCAGGATCCAGAGCTGACGTATTAATGCAAAGCTTCCTGAAATATTACTCATTATTATGCATTTTGCCAGCGTTTGAGTGATTTGTGAACTCGTCATTGGAATAAAGCACTGTAAATGATTCATGAATGACCAAGTTTATGAAATTCTATAAAAATATTAGCAGGTGGTAATGATTCCCTCACACCATGAGTGTAATCTGCCGGCTACAGATTTGTCAACAGGGGATGACAGGAGTGGGCGACAGACTGGCAGGCAGGTGGGGCCAGATGGATAGCTCGAGGTGGTCTCCACCGGGGGTATGAGGCCAAACAGGAAACAGGACAGATGGCAGTGGTGGCCAGGTGCCCCCAGCAGGAGGCTGTCTCCCTGATCTGGCGTCCATGGTAGAGATGCACAGATAACCGCGGATGTCAGAGTCGGGTGGGAGAAGAGGACATTTACTGAGCACCTATTTCATGCCAGAGAACTCCCCAGGGCCCTGACCCACACAGACCTCTGAAAATGCCCTCTCGTCTTGCCATTACCAATTGGCTGATTGAGGACCAAAAGTGTTCCCAAGACGTATTATCATCGTCACTACCAATGCTGGTGTCAACCTTCTTGACCGTTGCCATGTGCCAAGGTCTGTGCTAAGTGCCTAAGTGGTGATCTCCTTTACCTTCCCTGAGGAGGAGTTTGGTGCTGTCAACATGCTCAGCCACAGAAAGGCCGCTGCAAGGCCTGTCCTTGGCCTCCCAGTGCAGCAGGATGGCCGCATCCGCTCCTGTGGGCACAGGCAGAGCGTGACGTCAGTGCCCACGGGACGCACATTTACCCAGGCCAGGGGGCGTTTGGTCGATCGACTTGTTTATGGGACTGTACTCCCCCAGACTCGTACTGGAGGTGCCCCAGCCCTGGGTAGCAGGGGCCAGCTTTCACTGTTCTGGTCACCCCTGAGGCCGTTTTCTCAGAGGAGGTTCTTGGTGGTGATCCACAAAATCCCCTCCAACTAATCTACAAATAAAGGGGTTTATTAAGAGTACAGGTACCAGCTGAACTGCCTAAGGGCCACGTGACCTGACTCGAGGCTGGAGAAGGTGGCCCTACAGTCACTAAGGTACCATCCCAGTGCAAGGTCTCTCAACTTGGGTGCTATGGACATCTTGGGTTGCGGGGTTCTTTGTCATGGGGCTGGCCTGGCGGTCGCCGGTGGTTTAGAGCCACATAGTCCTGTCAGTCAGAAAAGCCTCCAGAGAGCTCCAGTCGTCTCGATGTGGGGAGGGAATGGAATTCCCCCGTGTGAGCAGGGCTCTTCTCATGGTGGCATTGCTGCCACCCTGTCCTGCCGCTTTTACACCAACGATACTCAGGATTGGACGCAGCCACTCTGCTTGGCTGCCAGGAGAGCCAAGTGACTCTGTGCCCTCATGCACCCTGTGGACCCCAGTCTGCAAAGCACCGCTGCAGCTTCACGTCTCTCTCTGCCACGGCCACACCACCTGCTTTGTCCCTGCAGAAACACCTGGATCCCACGCAGGCCTCTAGCTTCAGGCTCTCAGGTACAGGACAGTCAGCTGGCCAGGGGCTGGGCTGGAAGCTAGCTGCCAGCGGTGGCTTCGCACAGATTCCTGGTACTCCTGTTCCCAAGGAGACCCAGGCCACACTTGGGAGGGTGGGCTTTCACACCTGTGATCTTACCTTCTGCTGTCATTATGATCCTGCTAGTCATACTCTGGTGGCCTTAGAAAGAGCTCTGAGTCACAGGAGACAAGGAGCTTGGGTTGAGAGCCCCAGCTTTGGTGGTGGCCCTACTGGGTTCAAAG